CTGGCCCTAGGTGCCTAAGTCACTTTTGAAACAGGGTCTCATGCTCTTCAGAACCAGTTATGTATTTCTGAACATTTCTTATAGACCTCATCAGTTCTTGACCATTTAACTCTAAGTTTTGAAGTTTTTCTAATTCTTTATTTTTGCTCCATTTTATATTGGACACTCAATTTCAAATTCTAAAGTTTGCTGCCACCCTTTGCAGCTGAGGCTTTGTGTACATTTCACCTGCCATTTTCTAATATTTATAATTTGTGTTTCTTTATTCATACACAATAGCTTTTTAAAAATAACGCATGAATTGCTAGATCTTAAATATCGGCCGTGAGACTATATAGTAGTCCGCTTTGCTTTAAACAGCTCCCATTTTCCCTTTTTCTCCCACACCAAATTTCTTCTACCAAATGTGTACAGTCTGGGAATATTACCTTCTGAAGTCCTTTTCCCTTTATTTACTTAGACTCTGAGTCATACTGATTTTATTCCATTGGTCCTCCACTATAGGGCCTATAACAAAATTATTACACTTAAAATTAATTCAAATTGACTTGAATACTGCATCATGGATTGGAAAGTGGGTCAAAGACCATAACTGAGAACGTAACATGTTCAATGCCTGATGTCCTCTATTCTTTTTCACCTCTTTCCACTGTAAGTCAATGATACCTGTTCTGGGCTATCATCTGGTTTCTGAGCTCCCTTCAGGTCTATCTGTCCCTGTTCTTTGCGTTCGTGACCAAATTATGTCTCTGGGAAACTGGCTCTCAAGATCAGCAGCTTTTCCTGGAAAGGCTCCCAAAGCTGACTGGGAACTGATTGCAGATGGCAGAATAGCAGCACCGCTCACCTAGGAAGTGCCACTGGCTCATAACAGCAGCATACTTCTCAGCATAATCTCCCTATCCACTCAGGGTAGCTTACCTAAAGAAAAACGAAGAAACAAACCTAAAATTAGAGGGAGACAGACAACTCAAGGACACAATGGGAAGAGAGGTGATCACAGAGTCAGCATCAGGTGTACCCTGTCTAGGGATACTGGGCACCCCTGGTAAAATAAGGGTTAATTTGGCTTAGGCTATGCTAGCAAACACATAGCCCTACAATTAATTACATTTAATTTGCTTATGCAAAATATGCCCCCAAAATGCACTTTTATTGAGGGGCAGGGGAGAGGAAAGAAGATACAATAAATAAAAGAGGCTTTGTTCTATTTTTTATATAAATGTTATGTACGGGTAAAAACTCTGCCATAGCCAGTAAAATAAGAGCTTTATTTATTTACTGGCTTGCTTACCAACAGCACCCAGGAGCTGAATAATTACAAGAGTCATACAGAGATCACATCCCATTGGCTGCGCTTGTCGATTTGTTAGAAAGGTTAGTACATGATTAAGAGATGTTGTCTGTAACAAGTTATCAGTAGCTGGGCATAAGCCCATTAGCAGACAAATACACATAAGAACGGCCATACTGGGTCAGACCAATGGTCCATCTAGCCCAGTATCCTATCTTCCGACAGTGGCCAATGCCAGGTGCTTCAGAGGGAGTAAGCAGAAGAGGCTATCATTGAGTGATCCATCCCCTGTGATCTGCTCCCAGCTTCTGGCTGTCAGAGGCTAGGGACACCCAGAGCATGGGGTTGTATCCCTGACCATCTTGTCTAAGAGCCATTCATGGACATATCGTCCACATACTTATCTAATATTTTTTTGAATCCCGTTATAGTTTTGGCCTTCACAATATCCCCTGGCAATGAGCTCCACAGGTTGACTGTGTGTTGTGTGAAATACTTATGTTAATTTTAAGAACAGCTGCCCATAAATTTCATTGGGTAACACCTTGTTCTTCTGTTATGTGAAGGAGTAAATAACATTTCCTTATTCCGTTTCTCAACACCAGTCACGATTTATAGACCTCTATCATATCCCGTCTTAGTCATCTCTTTTCCAAGCTGAAAAGTTCCAGTCTTTTTAATTTCTCCTTGTACAGAAGCTGTTGCATACCATCAATCATTTTTATTGTCCTTCTCCATACCTTTTCCAATTCTAATATATCTTTTTTGAGATGGGATGACCAGAACTGCAAGCAGTATTCAGTGTGTGGGCATATCATGGATTTATATAGTGGCATTATTATATTTACTACCTTATTTACTGCCCCTTTCCTAATCATTCCTAACATTCTGTTAGCTTTTTTGACTGTCACTGCAAGTTGAGCAGATGTTTTCAGAGGAATATCCACAGTGTCTGCAAGATCTCTTTCTTGAGTGGTAGCAGCTAATTAAGATCCCATCATTTTGTATGTACAGTTGTTTTCATACAGTATGTATGTTTTCCTATGTGCACTGCTTTGCATGTGTCAACACTGAATTTCATCTGCCATTTTGTTACCCAGTCACCAAGAAGGTGTTATAGATGGTCATAAACTATCATTATCAGCCACCTATTGATCTGTTGGATTTTTTTTAAATTAACCATTTATTAACACTGTTCATTTATAAATGGTTAATATAGTATTATTTATAAATGTATTGTTAATATAAAGTGTGACCATTTTTCCTCCTTTTTTTGGAGGGGTTCAAAATTTGAAATATTTTAAATCTGTAATTCACGTATTTCCGGCAGGTTCATGATCAAGAGCATATCATTACAACTTCCTTGTGCTCGTAGCAAACTTTATAGTTTGTAGCAATCTTTAATTGCTGACAAACTGTTTTCAAATCACATGTTTAGTGGTAAAATGCCCAAAATGGACAGCCAGAATGAATATATTTTTGAGGAAAGTAATGATATTTTAAAAGAAAGCAGTCTCTCATACTTCTCAGCAATAATATTGACCTTGGCTTGGATTTTTTCCCCCCCAGTTCCGGCCATGCCTCAAATCTGCATTTCACGTAAGTTCCTACCTTGTACCCTGTACTGATGTTATGACAGGACCCATGATTGCTGATCCACGGTAGGCCAAAGAGGAGACCTCACTTTTCTCATAACGAATAGTCAAAACAAATGAACATTAGCTACATCCACTTCTGGCAGCTGATGCGCAACACCAAGTGCATTACCCTTTCTTTTTATTTTGGCACATGTCTTTGTGCTGTAGCGGTCTTGAGAAATGCATAACTGGATTTTCATTTCTACATTATCAACACCCATCATAAATGAACACACACACTCACACACACACACACACAGTAACCCAGTTCAAAAAATGGTATATTGCACAGTAAAACCTAAAGGAGGAAATAACACACAATCTATCAAGGGCTTTTCATATGCCATCATTCATTTCAATAGTCTCCCTTTAGTAAATATTACTGATGAACATATAGAAGAGATTTAAAGTGTAAAAAAAATGTATATTTTAAATGAGTTAAAGCTGCTGAAAAGGCGGCATTTGTTATCCAAATTTGGGACATATGATCATTTTGCATTTTGAAGACAACCCAGATTTTTTTGCATATATGAAAAATAGTGACATTTGAATAACACTGAAATATCTTCTGAGACCAGGAAGCAGTTGTTTTACGTTTTTACCGTATTTACAACTTTACTTATGTGGCATTATAACATTAGCACTTTTTCTTATCCCTGGTAAATGGTTCTTACAAAAGGTTGTAAGAAAATAAAAATAATAATAATCCCAAGTGATATATTTTACCATTACATATAACCTCCTGGCCCCATTCCCACATCAGCAAGAAAAAAAAAACAATAAGAAAAGAAACCCTAAAACTTTCCCCACATCTTTTTGTGTCTGCAACATCAACTTTATCTGTCTACAGACTTAGCCTCAAAACAGCAATAGATGTCATTTTAAATTTGAAACACCTGTATTCATAGTCCAATGGGAAAAAGTCCAATCTAGATGGGATAAAATATAAACGGGATCTTGAGTAGGAAAGACCTAATACTGCAAAATAAATTTATGCTGGAGAAAGTACAATAGTACATGGAAGAAAATGAAAATATCAACTGGAGTTTTAAACACTTCTCAAATGTATAAAATAAATCCTATTTCATGCTGCAGACCACAAGTATAGTAGCTGATCCCAGCATAGACTCAAGACCAATAAAAGCACCTATTCTTTTTGAAAGCTGAATGCCGTTTTTCCTCATTTTCTTGGGATAACCTGTGTTTTATAATAACAGTGCAGAATTCTGTCTTTTGGTAAACATAAAAGATTATAATTTCAGAGCTAAAGAAGCAGGCTTGGTATTGTGTGTGCAAGGCAGGTATTTTATTTATGCCTGAGATAAATAATTTGGGTCAAATCCTCAAATGACTTATTAGGAAAGAGGAAACATGACACCATGCCACGAATGTCTCAAAAAAATTGTAGATGCAGCCAGGAGGACTACTGAGTTCACAGGAGTATATTCGTGGCTTTGCTGGAACCAAAACTGTTCCCACCTGTGCCGTGCCCTATTGCTACTGGGTCTGTCTAGGTGTAATGAACAGCAAGTATTCTGTTGGAACATCCTCTGTATTTGCAACAAGAGGCAGGACCAACCATTCCAATTTGCATCACAGTAGGCAGGCAATATCCGCTGCAGATATGTTTTTTCTGCAGTTTCTCTTTCCTGTACATAAGCAGAAATGTCACTCACTTACCTGAGACTTCTGCACCCACATTAGTGAGTTCAGTGATTCAGGACAGAGCCCTTTGTAAATATTTTTAAAGCTCTAAATAATCAGTGCTTGACAAATAATAATAATTTCCTCCTAAAAAATTAAATTACTGTGCACCCCCTGAAACTAATATTAAAATGCTACTAGTTCTGGGCCCATAGTGTTTAACATTATTGACAAACTATCAGCCCGATCTTCTAAGTAGCCCAAAAATACACCCTACAAGAATGCACAGCAAAAATTATAACATATCTCAATGATGAGCCGCCTTATTCTTTTTTTAAAAAAGCATCTTTGAGTTTAATTCAATTATATAACAAGGGGGAAACGTATGCAAAACATAGCTAGCACCACTTATATTTAATCCTCACCTCAAATTTCTGTCTGAGTTCTACATTTCCATCATCATCAGCTTCTGGAATTGGAACATTGTAGTATTCACCTTCTTCTTGGTTAAGCAACTTGTACCTGTGGAACACATGGAAGCAGGGTGACGGGCCAAATTAATATTACTTCTCATTAAAATATATTTAGTATCGTATATGTGGCCTGTCTGAAAATATAGGACGAAATCCCATCCCTACTGAAGTCAATGGCATCGTTCCCAGTCATGTCAATAAGGCCAGAATTTCAACCACTGTCACAATAGTGTAGTAAAACTATTTTATAAGGCTTAAAGTGGACATGTAATTCATTAAATAAGACAAGGACCCGACAAGATGTTGTTTTGTAAAATCAGTTTCTATGTGTTTCTGAGCAGGGTTATATTGATCATGATATATTTACTGTTATATATACACTTGCGTATTCAAGATTAATACAACGTCCACATTGCCAAATTCTGCTCTTCTAATTGAGTTTGCAGCACTGGCTGGTTGCAGGAGGAGTTTCACACACAAACTCAAATGCACTTTTTGCTTTTAGTATTTTAATTTTGGGGGGATTATTTATAATTTAAATGCTCCATGTTTACGTTAATGATCCATGAATTTAAACACAGGAAATTATGCAAAAAGCATAAGGAATGTCTTGGGGTTGAAAATATTGCTATGTAACTTTTTAAAACTTCCTCTCTTTCTAGAGCACCTCTTACCATCCACACGCTGGTATTTTCATAAGCTCTGACACCCCAAATGAAAGAGATCCCATGAAATCATTTCTAGTCGTTCGATCCCAGTCCCAAACTTCTATAGATAACCGTCGATCTTTGTCTGTAGGTTTCATTTTACTACAAAAAGGGAAGAAAAAATTAGAAAAAAGTAGGCATGCTTGAAGTTTTCAAAAGTACAATTCAATAAACCACACGGTGCTACCTACATAGATAACATAGCATTACAAAAGATTGAACTTACAATGTAAATGACTCATTCCAATGTGGGTTTAGAGTGGAACGGATGGTTTTTGTTTTTTGTTTACTTTCATTCTTCGGGTCAGGGATAAGTTTCAGCTTCACATATGGATCTGAAAGTCCATTTGGATCCATAGGGATTAAGTTTTTTGCTTCTCGTACTGCAAATGTAAAATGTATAATGTATTATTCATCTATTCATAGAAGAGAAGTAGCATAATGCTAATTATATAGGACTACAAAACATTAACAAAAGAATAACGTTAAGTCACAGGAAAGAAAAATGTAAATTACTGATTTTAAGCATATTAGAAAATAAAACTAAAAAACCCCATGCAGATCCACTAATGAGATCAGGTTAGTGGACAAAACTTTGACTGTCGTGGGCTGAGGTTCATTTCTGGATATTTGCTTCTGCCCTGAGCATGACAGGAAGAAATGGTCAGTTAGTTAGACAATGCACATAAAACACTGGCACACCACAAAGGTTATTTTCTGCCCATGGTATGACTGTTTAGCAACCAAATCCAATACAAAGAACTTCTAAGTTGGTAACTATTCTATGTGCCTTTATTAAATTGGACAAATAGCAGCTCTGTATTACATTTTGCTGCACTTGCAAAAATGAATAAAAGGAGAATTTAAGAAGTCTGGGAACATAGCAAACAGATGTATTGTTTGTTCAATTTCTGAATCACAAGACCCATCTTATTGCATTCAGCAGCCTACAAGAGTAGGATAGCTTTGCAAATGTTGGTACCTTCCCTTCGAAAAGATGTTAAGTTGCTGTCATGAAACAGAAGGGCTGTTACTTAATTCTGTAAGTTTGAAACTGGTTCATATACAACGGAAGGAGATCTTGGATATACTGTAACTGATTTAAGTTCAGAAGCCATTATAAATGCAGTTGGGTAAGCCTGCAATACCTACAAAGCCATTTTGCTTAATGTACTTTTAAAGTAATCTATGTGCTCAATTATCTAACCACAGGGCTGTTTATTTTGGTGCTTAGATAGCCTGTTAACAGGGCCACACAGGTACCTGAATTGTGAACAACAGATTTCACAGGCTATGTGTTGCATTGTGGGTAAGCTGTACACATTTTTCTATAATTGATTATTGGAGAACATACAATGTTAAACTCTTTACAGACTAGATGTTCATGAAGATGTTAGATGAAGCCACAACAAGAATGTGAACAGGCAAGTCAGAAACTTAAAACAAGGTTACTATGCTGTTTTAATTATCTCAAGTTGCACATGAAAGTTGTGGTGGCTTCCAATTTTATGATGTTGGGGGGAAACTACAAATGTGCCGATTTTGTACTTTCTAGATTCTGAATCAACTCCCCATATGGTATTGATCCCAAACAGGTGTGTGAGACAGATGAGAACAGTCTACTATAGTCTGCACACGTCCTCGTTCAAGTTGGGGGTCTCACAAGGTCATACCCTGAGAGGTGTCAAGCAACTGTTGACATCAATGGGAACTGATGCATTCATCAGAGGCTCAGCACACCCAGATTTTGGACCATCTGCGACTGCATCAGCAGCAAGCATTAATTAAACAGTCCAGCAGCCACAGCAGAGGAGTGCTTGAAATTGATGAGCAAATGTATTAACTGAAATTCTCCCCTGTGCAGAGAACCTTCACAAGTCCAATGTGCCATGAAAGTCATGCTGTTTTGAGTGTTTAAGTGAGGCTTAAGTGACAAAGCAGCTTTGCGTTCGCCCTCAGACCAGGGGTGAATTTCACCCTATTGAGAAACTGTCCCCACCCCGACTTTGTGGGGAACTCTAATTAACATTAATGCAGGTTCCATTTGTGGAACAATTGCAGGGCTTGCAACAGAGATCCACAAAACATATCACAGAAGACAATTTGGGCCTTTCACTTGCAAAGCGTACTGTGGGCTGAATAAGCATATCCAAATCATAAATATAACCAATGGCTTATTTGTATAAAATTTTGCTCACTGGAGTAGCCTTCTGAGCTACACATTTCACTGTCCTGAGATCTCCATATTCCCCAGAACTGCTCTGACTTATACTCAGTCTGCCTGTGGGCTCCGAAGGGCTATAAGCAGTCAAGAACAGCTGCAGTGCAGCGGTGTTCTGGCCTTGGCTGCTTCTTCTGAGCCTGTCCCTTGGGGCGGCAAGGGATGCTGACGTAGAGCTTTTCTGCCAGTGGTACACCAGCTGAGGGCATTCCTGAGTGCGTTGGGGGGCGAGAGGGGAGGGAGAGCAACTGCTTTTAAGACACTGGAACAGCATAAAGAGGCCTCAGGGTAATGGAGACTTTTGCCTCAAAACTATTAACCTTTATTTCTCGTTTTAAATTTCTAAATTCAATCCGTCTGCTTTCAGTGCAGCAGAACAGTCCATTTCCAAGCTCTGCCATATGCACAACAGCATTCCTACCTGATTTCTTCTGAATTCTGATGAATTGAAAACTTGGTGAAATTTTAAAAGGAAATTGCCAGCGATCACCAGAGACAATCATTTAAACTAAAAAGAGCTATTCCTCTCAAACATCACTGGAGTGGCATACCA